AGAGTGAGGTTAGGATGGAGACCGTGCTCCCTGAGAGTGAGGTTAGGTACAGAGACCGTGCTCTCTGAAAGTGAGGTTAGGGACAGAGACCATGCTCCCTGAGAGTGAGGTTAGGATGGAGACCGTGCTCCCTGAGAGTGAGTTCAGGGACGGCAACCGTGCTCCCTGAGAGTCAGGTTAGAATGGAGACCGTGCTCCCTGAAAGTGAGGTTAGGGACAGCGACCGTGCTCTCTGAGATTGAGGTTAGGATGGAGACCATGCTCCCTGAGAGTGAGGTTAGGGACACAGACCGTGCTCCCTGAGAGGGAGTTTAGGGACAGAGACCATGCTCCCTGAGAGTGAGTTTAGGGACAAGCCCGTGCCCTCGAGAGTGAGGTTAGGGACACAGACCGTGCTCTCTGAGAGTGAGTTTAGGGACAGAGACCATGCTCCCTGGGAGTGAGTTTAGGGACAGAGACCGTGCTCTCTGAGAATGAGGTTAGGATGGAGACCATGCTCTCTGAGAGTGAGGTTAGGATGGAGACCATGCTCCCTGAGAGTGAGTTTAGTGACAGAGACCGTGCTCTCTGAGAGTGAGGTTAGGATGGAAGCCATGCTCCCTGAGAGTGAGTTTAGGGACAGAGACCATGCTCCCTGAGAGTGAGTTTAGGGACAGAGACCGTGGTCTCTGAGAGTGAGGTTAGGATGGAGACCGTGCTCCGTCAGAGTGAGGTTAGGATGGAGACCGTGCTCCCTGAGAGTGAGGTTAGAATGGAGACCGTGCCCCCTGAGAGTGAGGTTAGGATGGAGATCGTGCTCCCTGAGAGTGAGGTTAGGATGGAGACCGCGCTCTCCGAGAGTGAGGTTAGGATGGAGACCGTGCTCCCTGAGAGTGAGGTTAGGGACAGAGACAGTGCTCCCTGAGAGAGTGAGGCTCATGGTGTGATGGAATCTTGCAGAGAGCCAGCAGGGCCTCACAGGCAAAATGGCGTTCCTGTTCCCTGTAACCGCTGTGTGATTATAATGTGTGTGAAATTGCTGTGCACCTTCCGTGGTGTCAGTCCAGTGGGGTGCACACACAGCAGGGTTATTTCCCACATGGGGGATATCTTGCCTGATGTTATTGTTGGAAGAATACCCATTGACCGTACAAGTTATTTGTAACGTGTATAAATGAGTTTGAGAAAACTGTCATTGGCCTGATCAATCAGTTTGTGGTTGGCACAAAGGTTATGGGAGCTGCAGATAGTGAGTAGGATTGCCAGAGAATTCAGTAGGATATAGAATGCTGGATATTTGAGCGGAAAAATGGCAGATGGAGTTCAATCCGGAAAAATGCGAGCTGATGCATTTTGGAAAGTCTAATGCAGGAAAGAAGTCTATAATAAATGGCAGAACCTTTCATAGCATCAACATACCAAAGGATCTAGACGTATGGGTTCACAGTTCCCTGAAAGTGGCAACACAAATGCGTAAGGTGGTCAAGAAAGCATATAGCATATAGCATAAATATTGGCAAATTATGTTGCAGTTGTAGAGAACTTTAGTTAGGCCATATTTGGAATATTGTGTCCAGTTCTGGTCACCACATGAGCGTTTTGAGCGTATTGGCTATCAGGTGAGATTGGCCAAACTTGGTTTGTTTTCACTTGAATGCTCGAGGCTGAGGGGTGACCTGATAGAAGTTTACAAAATTATGAGGGGCATGGATAGAATGGATGGACACGGGCTGGGGGGCTGCCATCCCAGACACAAGAATGTGTGTGTGTGTGCGCGGTGCGAGTTATCTCACACAGCAAGCTGTATTCGTGTACAGTACAAGTCATTTGTGTTTGTGGCCAGGCAACTCTCTCTCTCTGTCTGTCTCTGTTCCAGAGCGGATACACACCCCTGCACATGGCCTGTCACTACGGCAACATCAACATGGTGAAGTTCCTGCTCCAGCACAAAGCCAATGTCAATGCGAAGACCCAGGTACAGCAGCTGCTTTCTCTACAGAGATCTACTGGGGCTGGATCACACTCTCATGTGTGAGTGTGTGTGTGTGTGTGAGAGAGAGAGTGTCTGTGTGTGTGTGCACGCTATCCATTTGATGTGTTTAACCAGTCTGTCTCTCCACAGATGGGGTACACCCCGCTGCACCAGGCTGCTCAGCAAGGTCACACCGACATTGTTAATCTCCTCCTCAAACACGGAGCCTCTCCAAATGAAACCAACGTGGTATGTGACCATCCCAGAGCCTTCCTGTTCCCTTGATAACCAGCACTGGGTGCTGTCTTACACACACATACCCACACACAGCCCTGTACTCTCACTCTCACTCTCGCTCACACTCACACACACACACTCACACACACACACTCACACACACACTCACACACACTCACACTCACACTCACACACACTCACACACAGTGTGTGTGTGAGTGAGAGTGCAAGGATATGTGTGAGTGTCTGTGTGTGTGTGAGAGAGAGTGAGAGTGTGTATGTGTGTGAGAGAGAGTGAGAGTGTGTGAGAGAGAGAGTGTGTGTGTGTGTGAGAGTGTGTGTGTGTCTGTGTCTGTGTGTGAGTGAGATTGAGAGTGCAGGGATATGTGTGAGTGTCTGTGTGTGTGTGTGTCTGTGTGTGAGTGAGATTGAGAGTCCAGGGATATGTGTGAGTGTCTGTGTGTGTGTGTGTGTGTGAGAGAGAGAGTGAGAGTGTGTGTGTGTGTGAGAGAGAGTGAGAGTGTGTGAGAGAGAGATTGTGTGTGTGTGTGTGTGTGTGTGTGAGAGAGTGTGTGTCTGTGTCTGTGTATGAGTGAGATTGAGAGTGCAGGGATGTGTGTGAGTGTCTGTGTGTGTGTGTGAGATGAGAGAGACTGTTCGTAGAAATGAGAGAGTGTGTATGTGTTGGGGTGTGCATGTAAGACTGTAAGGATGTGTGCAAGTGAGACTATATGAATGTGTCTGTGTGTTGTGAAGGAGACTGGAGGGCTGTGAGTGAGTGTCATGTGTGTGTATGAGAGAGAGAGCGTACGTGAGAGAGAGCGTGTGTGTGTGTGCGAGAGAGAGAGTGTATGTGTGAGAGAGAGAGAGTGTGTGTGAGTGTGCGAGAGAGAGAGTGTGTGTGTCTGTGAGAATGAGTGTGCAGGGATGTGTGTGAGTGTCTGTGTGTGAGT